CCCTTGCTCCATCACTGTCACAGCAAAGTGCATAGGGCGGATCCCTCTCTTGGAAGCTGGTGTCCCCTCTGCAGACAGCGTCATCTCAGAGGAGTTGTGCTTTCCTTCCCTGCTCCCACTCTGCTGCTAGTTTCCGCCAATAAACCTTATTCTATTATGGCTGCACCATGTGGTGTGGGTGGTGTCTCTGTGCCCCTTTGCATGACAGTTCCCATCGATGTCTCAATTATAAAATTTAAAATTAAAAGTTCACAAGGATTAGTAAAATAATCTGGATGGCCCTCAAAAAATTAAAGTGGGGCGCACTGTTTTATGACCCAGCAATTCCACTTCTGGGTATATATTCAAAGAAACCTGAAACACTAATTGGAAAGAATTTATGCTGTATATTCATTGCAGCATTTTTACAATAGCCAAACTATGGAAGCAACTCAAGTGCCCATGAATAGACGGGTAGATAAAAATGGCAGTTTAATCAGGTGGTTATAGATGCAGCCTTTGGGCCCAGACTGCTTGGGTTCTAATCCCAGCTATGCTACCTAACTAGGCTCTCTGTAAAATTGGGCAAGTATCAGTATCTTCTTCCTCTTACGGTTGTTTTGCAAATGAAATGAGTTATGTGAAAGTACTTAGCACCCTGTGATCCTATCTGGCATTTTATAAAACTTGCTATTATCATTAAATTGCTCTCTGACCCTATCACTGGCCTAAGCAAAACTTTCTCACTGGGTCTCATTTCTACCAAACACGGCCCCACCCATAGCAGGTTGTCAAGTCCTCCATCTCAGCCACTTTGTCTGTGTTCTTCTTGTCTTCAGAGTGTGACTCCTCTTCCCAGAGTTGGAAGAACCCTCCCTTGTCTCTGAACTCCTGCAGAATCTTGTCTCGGTCTACGGCCTCTCCATTCTAGTTTTTGAGGTCACTTTATCTTCTACTCTTCTTCTATCATGAACTCTTGGATGGCAAGGATTATGATGTATTTGACTTGTATACTTTATAAGATCCCAAATTGGCCCTTTGACCAGAATGAGTCTGAACCACCTGGGTTTAAATCCTGATTTTTAACGTTTGCTAGCTCTGGGAAAATTGCCTCACGTCTTTGTTCCTTGGTTATCTCACCCATTGAACAAGGGTAATAAACATACTTTCTCCATGGTGTTATAGTGTGAGGATTATACAAACTTAGTGGCATCCCTTGCACACAGTAGTGCTCAGTGAACCACAGCCGTGATTACTATTATCATAAAAGTAATAAATGCTTCTCGTAAGAGGCCCAGCAATACAGTAAAAAGTGGATTCTTACCCCACAGACATAGCCACTGCTAGTCCACTCATTCATTTTTATAAATGAGGACGCTGAGACCAGAAGAGGTTAAATAACTTGCCCCAAGGTCACCAAGGATTAGAAGTCAGGCAGTGAGCCTCCAGAGATGGGAATGATCATTAGGGCAACTGGTAGAAGACACTTTCCGGAACATTCCCCTCCTCCACCTGCACACCCCCCTAGCTACTAATTGATCACAAAAATCTCTGCCTTTTAATAAAAAAATCCCCCCCCCTCAATCCATGCTCCATTAATTCAGCCAGAATTCAATCCAGAGAAATGCTACCACAATAAAAGCGCATGGAGCCAGCAGGTCCTGCAATGGCCTAGATCTGAGAGTCTTACACAGAAATCAGTCATGCTGTCGCTGTGGTTGAGGACCCGCTTTGATTTTGCTAACGAGTCTGCTTTCATGGTCGCTCCTAATCCCTTGATGTTTGCTCCTCTCCTTTTTTATTTTGACTCCGAAGACTTTAATAATTTCACCATGAAAAATGGCCTTTCATGGTGCATTTCTTCCCGCCAGGTAGTGGTAGCCTTTGAAACACACACTAACATTTCTTTACCTTTAAATCCAGTTAATGCTCACTAGACTAGATCTGGGCAGGGTGAGTGATGGTGCTCACGCTTGCGCTTTTGTAGTCACTCTCCTCTGAGACCTGTAGAAGGCTCTGTAAACATTAGCTAAGCCTCCAGCACCTCGGTGACGCAGGGAAAGGCTAGGGGGAAGACGATGCTCCATATGCTAGGTGTGTGGCATACACCAGAAGTGATACTTCCACTTTATGTTTTCCATTTTGATCTCTTCAGTGTAGACGCAACCAGAGAACGGCACTAAAGACGTATTGGTATCTCTGCACCCTTTCTTCCCTCGTTTAAAACCTCAGCTGTGGCACATGCCCCTCCGGCCCATTCTGTGGCCCTCTGGATCCTCCCTCTGGACTACACGGAAGCCTCTATGCAGGGTCTGGATCCACCCTACCACCCTTTCCCTAATGCGGAGGAGGGCAGGCTTGTCCCCAGGATTTCTAACCACAGTCACATGGGTGGAAAGAGAGTGGAGAAGGGACTGCATGTTGATGAGAAGGGATCCAAACCAGCCTTCGGACCAACCTTGTTCTGTTAATATGATACCTTGACTCATCCAAGGCAGAACCTCCACCTTCTTGTACTCACAGGGTGGCCCTGTGGACTCCATGGATCCGTGACTCACTTCATCTGAGGGAAATGGGGTGGAGGGGGGTGAGGGCCTTAGAGGCTGTAAAACCTCTAGGTGTGTGATTGATGTGCCATGAGAAGGAGGATGGCTGGGGTGTTAGAACTGACACCCCGGTGAAGTGGAGAGATGAAAGCTGATAGAATCCCGGCCAGGGAGCTGGGGAGTTCAGGGCTCTATGGCAAGGGAGATGAGAACCTGGAAAACCAGGCATTTACACAAGATTGAGGTCAAGGTCAAGGTCATGTCAGAGGCTAGAAATGCAACACAAGGTAGAATAACCCAAATAGACCCCCGGAACAGGCTCTGGGGAAACAGTTCAAAGTTGTTGAACACGGAAGAGCAATGTGGTTCGCTTGAGAAAGCCAGAGAGGACTTGGGTGGAGGTGGATCTTGACCACTGTTTTTGGTCAGGGAAAAATCTGAAGCTGGTTCTATTCACAAGGGACTTTCCTTCCATAGCACTTCCTTGTCAAGTGCCTAAGGCAGTGATGGCGAACCTTTTGAGCTCAGTGTCAGCATTTTGAAAAACCCTAACTTAACTCTGGTGCCGTGTCACATATAGAAATTTTTTGATATTTGCAACCATAGTAAAACAAAGACTTATATTTTTGATATTTATTTTATATGTTTAAATGCCATTTAACAAAGAAAAATCAACCAAAAAAATGAGTTTGCGTGTCACCTCTGACACGCGTGTCATAGGTTCGCCATCACTGGCCTAAGGACACCACCTTCCTTCTTGGAGGCCTACTAGTGCCCTGAGAGGTTGTTTGGTGGTTTGATCACAGTGGGTAAGTTCAGCTGTGACAACATAGCCAAGGCTGGGGGCATAGTCAGTTGTTATTCCCAGCTAAATAGACAATGAGATGTCCTTCTTGGATGCCAGAGGACAAGTCAACTAGTGTAGCCCTGGGCATGGGTGATACAGCATCATGTGAGTGGGTAATGGATGGTCTGAAGGGGCTGTTTCTGCTCATGCTCTGTAGCCCCTTCAGATCTGGCCCTTGTGGCTCGGACCTCACCCATCATTCTCTCTACTCTGGTTCTCCTGAATTCTTGAAGCTCATTTAGCAGGGCTGGTGAGAAATTTTGTTCTCACTTGTGATACTTCTGCCAAATGTTTGATCCTTTCTGTGGGTCTTTTTCCATTTCCTTAATGGCCTCAGCTTTTGGATTAAAAAATCAGGAAGAGTCTTTTCCAGGCTCTTTTTTTCCACGGTAACATCCTTTCTCTGAGGCAGTTCGTACAGAAGAGCCCAACTGCTTCCAATGGAATAGGGGCACGAGGGAAATGCCAAGAAGAGAAAGGAAATATTGGGATTACGGGAACGCACTGGTTAATACAATACAAGGATGTGAAATATCTTTCTCCCATAAATCTAATGCGGCAGAGACTGATCACAAGGTGGTTGTCTCACTTGGGTGCAAAAATGGTCTGGGGTGACTCTGGGCAGACCTGCTGGACTTCTGTATCTGAAACATCAGTTGGGCGCCCTAGGATGAGCACAGGGTGTCTGGCTCCCACCAAACACAGCCACGGGAGTGGAGGAGCAGGCAGGTCTGGGAGCAGCAGCTGCCCCGTGGGTCACCAAGGACACATAGGAAGAGGGAATCTGGAGAGTTTCTCCCTCAAATATCCTCACATAGCAGAAGAACCACAAACAGCTACCAGGTAAGCAGTGGGTATGAGGAGCTGGATGTTCTCTAACAAGACTGGGTGGGGACAGAGCCTCTGACAGAGGCAGGGCCCTGGATGGAAGGTGGTGTGGCCTGGGAAAACCAAGACCCCACTAGAGCAGAACCCAATTGCTTTTTTCCTGGTTCCTGTGCTCTGGAGGGTAGTTAAAAATGGGTTGTTTTCTGATTCCGTCCAGTAGCTGAGGTTCTGCGTCTAAGCTCCAAGGTGAAGAGTTGACGTTGAAAGGAAAGCTCCTTCCGTTTGTGGATGATTGCCGTTTATACAATTCCTATGTTTAAACTTTATCCATAGGCAGGAAAACAACCAATTTCCTCAGAATATAATGATCTGAGGTTGAGTTCATGTAAAATGAAGAATCTAGGTGGACCGTGACTCTTGTCCAAGTGGACTAAATAGGCTGAACTGATTTAAGTGGAAAATACTGGGTCAACCACAAACACACCATGATTCTTGAGAAACGGACTTAACCTTCCGTGTGGAGTCTGCCTTGTCCACCAGCCACATACCCTCTCGGGCAGCTGTTACGTGAACCCTTCGATTTTATGTGAGACTCTGTGTGAAGGATTTTCATTCTGAGGGTCTATGCCGTCGACAGCACACACACACACACACACTCACACACGCACACGCACACGCACCACACGCGTGCATGCGTGCATTTGGAGTCAGTCGGGGTCCACAGCCTGAAAAGGGGTGAATGAGAAAATAAATCTGAGCTCCTGGGATGCAGTTTACAGCCATCACCAATCCCAAAGCTCTTCACTTAACTTTGATTTATGGCCAACTTTGAAAGATGTCATTTGTTGTAAACGCAGAACACATTCGTTTCGGGGGTGAGCGGAAATGTCCCCAACTTCTGGTGGTGGCGGATACATCTGAAAAATGGAATCGAATCAGTTTTGCTCCCCAGGGGGACAGGTAGAGGATTCCTGTTTCCTGCCAATTCAGTTGGAAACAATGAGGAGAGAGAGAAAAAAAGCGGAGCCCTCCCTTCTCTCTCTGGCCTTAGACGTGAACTCTTGATAAGATCCCGGAAAACAAGCAGCGTTTTCACCGGCCGCTTGCCCTCTTCAGCTGAGAAAACAGCACGAGCCCGAACTCGGAACCGGGGCCACCTCTATTGTGAACGTGGCCAGGCTGACTTCTCGTCGCCAACCAGCAAATCACAAAATGACTGAGATAAGGAATATAATAACATGTTCACACGAACCTTACATTCTTACCTCTTCTATAGGAAAGGATATCCCTGCAGGAAGGAGGAAGGTGGGGCCCCGCCCGTGTCCCACAGCAGGGCTGGGACCGCATTGTCCGGGCCTTTTGTAGGGACACAGGAAGAGGGTCCGGAAGTTTCTACAGGAAAACAGAGAAAAGTTCAAACATAAACAGCATCCAAAAAAATTTACCAACAGTGAACTCGACTTCCTCTCTGGGCCTCCATGCGTCCCTGGACCTCTGGGCTGGCAGATTGTAATCTTGGGACTGGGTTCACCTTGGTAACCTCCAGCCTGGGTGATTGTGCCGTGTCCCTCCTTAATAAGTTAAAAGGCTGTGTTTTCTGTGACATCCGAGACACAAACAACCTCGTCCCAGAGACTGTATCCTGGCCTGGCTCGAGTCCGTCTGTCTTTTCCATTTGTCATTTCTGGGGAGGGTCCGGCTTCCCTGAAGCCCCGGGTGGGACAGGGCGGCTCCCTTTCGGGAGGCTCTGAACAAAAGCTGAACGTGGCTGAATGGCCGCTTCCTGTCACAAGGCAAGGGCTTGGGTTCGGCTCCCCCCGGTTTGGGCCAGAGGTGCACTTTGAGAAGCTCACTTGCAAGGACCGGTGAGAAGAGCTGTGTCCCTCCCGCTCCAGTGAGGGCTGGACTTTCCCTCCCACCTCCCTGCACCCTTCACCCCCCAGGCCGCAGAATCTCTGCTGCCTGCCCCGAGGCCACAGGGCTCTCTGGTTTTAGGGCTGAGTTATGAACACCACAGCTCTAACAGAGAGAAGCAATACCATGGTGAAGTTCGAAGGTAGATGAAAACAGAGAGCGGCTTTGGGGGACCCCTCCCCCTCTTCCTAGTCGTTGTGCATGAAACCAACAGCTCCCCTTTGCCTCTGGCGGCAGGGATGGGCCACAAAGAACAATGGGAAAATGTCACCAGCTCCCCGATGGGGACTCAGGGACCAGGACTCGGGGACCGGGTCTCTCAAGGGCAGCCTCTGAAGTCAAAGGAGTCGCTCCCCACTTTTCCCACTGATGCAAACAGCCCTCCACCCTGGCGGGGGATTGTGGAAGCCGCTTCCAAAGAGCTCTAATGGGGCTGCCAGACGCTGAAGGGAGCGTCCTTACTTCCCAGACGGGCCAGTCGCACACTGCAGGAGCAATGATTCCAGCGAACAGACAGACTTCCTAGAAGATGCCATTATGGGAAACTAAATCACTCCCTACCCCCCCCCCCCCCCCCCCCACCCCAAAATAGCTCTTAAGCCCAAGGATCTTTCAGAGCCCATCAGAGGAGAGAGTTCTGAGTGGACTGCTCGAGCTTTTTAGGTGATATCTTTTTCTGAATTGCTTTTTCCAGAACAAATGACTTCCATTATGTTCAGCCAGGGACCAATTCTTCACTCAAGTATGTAAAGCAAAATAGGGCTTGTGCTCCGGATGTGTTACTCACAGCAGAAACCTTTACTGACGGCCGCCCCAGACCGGTGATTGAAGTGTGTTATATAAAGGCCCAGGTCCAAGTGAGAGGGTGAACTTGACCTCTGGAACCAGCCTCAAACGCTGGTTAAGATGTATTCCGAGTGCTATGTCGCACGTAAGGGACACTGGAATTTTCAGAAAACAGCTGATGAGAGAACCCGTTCACACAACACACATGGATGGAGCAGCTGTTGCCTACACCCTCCCATTCGTTTATTACTGTATTTATTCATTTATACAGGGGTGGGCGAAAGTAGGTTTACAGTTGGTCCTATGGAAAATAATACAATAATTAGTAAATAATAATACAAGAGTAAACTCTGTGTTTCCATACTCACGACTGTAAGCCTACTTCTGCCCACCCCATCTAAAAAGGTGCCAGACATGGGGTTACATTTTATGGACAGTCAAGGTGGTTGTCAATACATTTCAATGTCTTGAAAACCTTACCGGACGCTCTGCTGGAGAGCCCCATCCCTGGGCCAGGTGTGAATCCTGTCCAGTGGTTCTCAACCTTCCTAATGCCGTGACCCTTTAATACAGTTCCTCATGTTGTGGTGACCCCCAACCATAAAATTATTTTCATTGCTACTTCATAACTGTAATTTTGCTACTGTTATGAATCATAATGTAAATATCTGATATGCAGGATGTATTTTCATTGTTTGGGACCCACGGGTTGAGAACTGCTGCTAGTCACTTGCTGCATTTCAATTTGTTAGTCACCCCCACAGCTGTTGCTAACACAGCCCTGAATACAGTGATGAACTAGAACAAGCATGTCAAACTCGTGGCCCGAATGCCTTGTTTATCTGGCCCGTGTTAGCCTTTGAGTTTGACATGCTTGCACTAGAAGCCAACAGTCTAGGGCCCGCTGCTCTAAATTAGGTGTTACTCACAGAGAGACACAATATAAGGGCTTTGAGTCTCAAGCTGACCTGAGCCTAAAGGCCTGCATAGACCCTAGGATGTTCTTGGTTCCCACTGAAGGGAAACAGCAGGAGGCAGGAAGGCCCCTCTGATCAAGGCTGGGTATGAGATGGGGCTGGGACACACTTGTGTTCAGGATGATGAACCAGGCCAGGGACTGCCTGGGCTCTGGGTGCTCTGTCTCCCACCTGGCCCAGTGGGGGTGTAGCTGCCTGTGGAAAAAGGCCTGACACACTCTGAGACCAGCAGGTGCCTGAGCAGGGGGTGTTGGGTGAGCAGGATCACTCTGTTCTGAGCTCCCACCTCAATGCTGGGGCTTCTTGTCACATATTGAGATCCTGTTTAGGTCTGTCCCCAGGTAGACTCTAGGACCTTGACTCCCAACTTTTCTTCCCTTCTCTATCTTCCCAGAAACTGAATTCTGAATCTTTGATCCCTGCCGGCCAACTCCTGGTTAGCAGACACCCAGCTTGGTCTCCCCTGGACCCTAATGTTTTGTGTCTGCCTTCTCCCCAGTCTTCATTCATTCATTCATCATTCAAACATTCATTCACTAACTATGGATTGAGCACCTGTCATGGCCAGGCACTCTGCAGGTGCTGGGGATATAACAGTGACCAAGATGGACATGCCCCTGCCCTTAGGGGGCTAATAATTTGGCCAAATAACAGAAAGGTAACAAATTGTTCTTGAAAGTTCTTCTTAAATAATCATGTTTAAATATAATACTTTAGAAGCTGGTGTTCTAGATTGGGATGTTAGACATTTTTTTCCCCATTTTTTTAATTGCCCAAATTATTTATAATGTTATGTGCTTGTTATATTCTAATTTTATTAATAATTATATCTAATTGTGCTGTTATAATTTTATTAGTATTGTTTATATATTTAATTGTTAAAAAACTTTGAACATATATAGTTAGAAATCCATAGGCCTTGAATAGCAACCCCATCGACCAGATTAAGGCTTCCTGAGGGTAAGAGAGATTCAAGGCATGGTCTCCTCCTGGTGAGGGTGGGGGGGACCTAACTTAGTACTGACAGTAGCATTTTTAGAGGAGGGTTGCCCTGTTTTAGGCACCCTGCTAAGCATTTTGTATGGATTCTCTCATGTATCACAACCCAAGAGTTAGTTACAATATTATCCTCAATTCACAGATGAGGAAACTTAGACTCGGTGAGGTTACATAACATGTTTTAGGGGGAAAAAACCTTTTCATGTTTGAATCTGCAACTTATTTGGCTTTGCTACACCTAAGTGCAAAGGTGGTAAACAAAATATTTAACTGGCATGGCATGGACACTAACCAATCAGAAGAGATGCCAGGCTGTGGAGCAGAGGCAGGTCTGAGGGCAGGGGCCACTGGAGGCGGGGCAGGAGAGACAGAGGGGCTGGGATAGCCAAGTCATGGATGGGGTTGGCTAGGATAGCATCTGTTCATGGGACATCAAGGGGGTGTTTGAATATGCTAACAACTCAGACAGCCGTACCTGTAGAGCCCTGCCCAGATGAAATGGACAAGTCCCCGCTCCTGTGGGTCATTGAGTGACTCCTGGGACAGTTGTGTTCATCAGCAAATTGGAGAGTTACTAAGGGTCAGGTTGACTTTTACAAAGTCTCAGTGTAAGGGGATATGCGGAGATGGTGAGCATAGTTTTATACAAGCTTTTAGGTTACCGAAAGCTTTCTTTCCTTTCTTTTCTAGACCACAGTACCCAAATCAGAAGTCTATGGGCCTAATTCAGCCTGCAGATGTTTTATTTAAACCCTACAGTGATTTCTCACTTTAAACAGCAAAAGCTAACATTTCTGTAGCACTCTAGGTAGAGGCATGTATATGCTTTCCATATGTTAACTCAATCTACATCAAACCTACGAGGTAGGTACTATTTTTACCATGCCCATTTTACAGATAAAGAAACTAAGGCACAGACAGGTTGAGTAACTTGCCTAGAGTGGCACAGTTAATTAATAAGTGGCAGAAGTGGAATTTGAACAGAAGCCGTCTGACTCCAGAGTACAAGTTGTTGATCGCTATGCCCCTCTGCCTGTCTGGTATGTCTGAATTCTGTGCCGACATTTGAAAATCAAGAGCGGTAAGATAAAGATCCAGACTTACAGCTTGTCAGATTGGAAATCAGCAGTTACTAGTATAACAGCCCCAAGTTTATGCTCCCCCGAGGTAAAAGTCAGTCCCCTTGACGAGGGGATGCGTTTCCCCAGGTCCCACCATTCCCCGCTGCCTTCCAACACGGAGCTGACAGCCATTGTTCGTTCGTCATCGGACTAGCACTGTTGTTTCCTTACGCATCACCCTCTTCACTCATTTGTGACCTGCCTGGACCCTGTAGACATTTGTGACCCTCAATTAGACTCCTCCTAAAGACAAGATGCCCACCCTGGCTGTGGCTCAGTGGTTAGATCATCGACTCACACACCACTGAGGGGTCTCAGGTTCCATTCCCGGTCTAGGGCATGTACCTGGGTTGCAATTTCAATCCCTGGCCCCGGTTTGGGGCCGTGTGGGAGGCAACCAATTGATGTGTCTCTCTCACATTGATGTTTCTCTTTCTCTCTCTCCCTCCCTTCCACTCTCTCTAAAAAGCAACGGAGAAAATATCCTGGGGTGAGGATTAACAACAACAAAATAATATTAATAAACACAAGATACCCTTTTGCTATAACACATATATTAGGATGTGCAGAAGTGTGTGAGGAGCTC